CTGTACTAAGTGCTACGGAGGAAGTACAGCGGGACAGTGTGGTAAAGACAGACCAGGCTTGGAGGAGGGCAGGTGAGTCAGGTCTGATCGCTCACCTAGACCACCCCCTTCCTTGGCGCAGTGGGGCCCTTCGAGCCGAAAGGACGCGCACTTTCTCCTCTGGGGAAACCCACTGGGGCAGCACGCAGCCGTTTCCCACACGTACCCCTCCTCCTGGGCACAGAGCTGGGCCGCGTTCCCCGGGGTCCTCTGCAACTTGGCCAATGGAATTCAGGCGGGAATGGTGTTTCCCACGTCCAGGCCCAGCCGACCCTGCGCTCCTCCCTCTGGCGCCCCGCATGACAGCCCCCAAATGACCTTCCCAGGAGCAAGAAATAAACCTCTGTTCTGTTCGGTTTCTGAAATTGTGGGAATGCCCGTCAGAGCGTCAGCCCTCCCTGCAGTCCGCGTTGGAGCAGACATCCACCTGGAGGTAGCCTCCCTCCAGGGGCTGCAGACACGTCGGGGGGTCCGAGCAGCAGAGGACGCGGTCTCTCCAAACCACAGCAACACTGCAGACTAGAAGACAGGAGAGGCTGCCCCTCAGTGAGTCTGGGCAGCGGCTGTTGGCTTCCGGCACGTGGAGCGCGCAGCTCTGCTCATCGCACGCCAGACGCCACGCCCGCACCTCCTGTCCCCACGGCTCCAGTGTAGAAACATCACCGGCAAGGAGAGTCCCCAGGAGCCTGCATGTGCAGGGGCCCGAGAGCTCCCGCCGTCGCTGCTTTCCTGCCGGATTTTGCAAGGTTTGTGTTCACTGGGGAGGGGGCTCATTTCCCTGCTTCAGAGCGGTGCACGTCCCCCATCAGGGCACACAGACGTCACTGTGGCCTCGTGAGAAGACTGTGCCCCCTCAACACGGCCACAGGCCCGTGGGGCGCAAGTGCCTGCTGCTCGGGGAAGCCGGCTCTCCCCTCTCCTACTGCCAGACCCGACCTCTCTGCCTCGGGGCCGCCGGCAGTGGTCAGGCTGGAAGCACACGGGTGTCTTTCCTCCACTGTCCAGCAGAGGACAGACGACCCAGCAGATCTTGGGAACCCCTGCAGGACAAGGGCTCTGCCCACAGTGGCCTTCTTCCCTTTTGGGGCCTTTCACAGGCCTGGGTACGACTGGGCACAGAGGAGGGAAATTCCTCGTGTCGGTACCCATATCATCAACTCTGAGAAAGCTCTGAGAGCCAGGACGACAGAATATCCCCGTGGCGGCAAGATGCCTGCCAAACGCACGTGTGTGAGGGTGTGAGTGAGCAAACGCCCCCTCGGGGCTCATTACAGACTCACCCATCACTACAAGGTTCCCGCCAAGCATTGAGTATTGGTGAGGATGACTCGGCCAGACGTTCCGGAGTTTGGGAAATGAGGTGGATCTGGCCTGCGGGTCAAATCGGGCCCACTGCCTGCTTTTGTAAATAAAGTTTTATTGGAACCCAGCCACGCCCGTTGGTCTACATATTGCCGAGGGCCGCCTTCACGCTGCAAAGGCAGAGCAGAATAGTTTCAACAGAGGCCAGTCGGCAGGGCTCACAAAGCCTAGAACATTCACTACCTGGTCCTTCACAGAAGACGTTTGCCAAGGGCTCTGAGGAAAAAAGATGCAGACGCAGAGAACGGACTTGAGGACACGCGGAGGGGGAAGGGGAAGCTGGGACGAAGTGAGAGAGTGGCATGGACGTATATGCACTACCAAATGTAAAATCGATAGCTAGTGGGAAGCAGCCGCATAGAACAGGGAGATCAGCTCGGTGCTTTGTGTCCACCTAGAGGGGTGGGATAGGGAGGGTGGGAGGGAGACGCAAGAGGGAGGAGATATGGGGACATATGTATACGTATAGCTGATTAACTTTGTTAAACAATAAAAAAAAACACCCCGTTAAAAAAAAATCAATCCCAAAAAAAAATTTTAAAAAAAAAAAAAAAAGGAAAAGTTTGCCAATCCCTGAGTTAGATGGACAGATTTCTACTAGAGATGACCTTTGGGGAGCACAGCCCAAGGCCTTCAACAAAACTGGCTCACACAATGAAAACCTGACTCTCTGTCCAATTTGCTTTCAATCCTGATGACACTTGAGAGGAAGCTTCTGGCTCCAGTGTATCTTAGACACGTCAACACTTGCATGACCCCCCCTCAGCCCCCCCCCGCCCCAGAGCTATGTTTTCTCTGCTTTATGCTTGTTTTATAGTCGACTTCCGTCATAACAGATACCTCCAGCTTTCCAATTGTGAGCTAATAAAGCCTCCTTTTAGAATAAATTTATTTATACTGAAAATGAACTACTAGAGAAAATCTTAAGTAAATGGCAAGTGGCAGTCCGACACGGCAAGGGCCTCGAGGGCTGGTGGGGGCCCCAGAGCCGAGTCACCGGCACCTCCATCGGCATGGGCTGTGCCCTGGGCCTGGCCCATGTGCCTAGAGGATGCTCAGTCTGGGAAACTGCGCCCGGGCTGGGGAGGGGTGTCGATGCTTGAGTGCCTCTCTCCAGTCCTCACCTCCGTTTTGCCGTGATCTCGCCCTCCCAGGCAGGCCGCTCAAGGGCGCGTGATGGCTCTGGAAGTGAGCTCCCATCCCAGGGGATTGAGGCAGGAGGGTGGCTCTGTGTGACTGAAACTCAGCAGGACCCTATGGGGCCCTCCTGGTCACAAAAGCCTTTCCGTGTCCCCTGTTTCTTACTTGCAGGAAAAAGGCTTCAGTCTCCTAGACCTTCCTGAATACCAAAGAGCAGATTCAAACACTTGCTAACCAGGGAAGTAAGGGAATGCGGAAGAACAAAGGGAGAACAATCACACTGCAGTACAGAGGTCAAAGCAGGACCCTGGTTGCTGCCCAAGGAGTACACGTAACTGCACCTTCAGTTCTTCTGCAGGAACTGAGGACCCCACGCAGGTGGAGGACGGCAGCTCCAGGCTGAGCACGAGGTTCCTAGAGCCCCGTCCTGCTACCTCACCAGCAACCAGTCGGAAGAAAGTCACACACCCTGCAGCCCTCACCCCAAGTTCTGCCTATACAAACTTCTCCCCCAAAACCATCAGGGAGTTTGAAGTTTTTGAGCACGAACCACCCATTCTCCTTGCTTGGCCCTGCAGTAAACACTTCTCTGCTCCAAACTCCAACATTTTGGTCTGTTTGGCCTCCCCCATGCGACAGGCACACACACTTGTGTTCGGTGATATGCTGAGCTGGACACACCCTCCTGCTCCTCCTTTTTTCCACGACTGCCACACACAGCACTTCTGACACCAGAGGTGTCACCACATCCAGCAATTCTCTGTGACACCAGCTGGGGGTGCTACCATTTAACTCAACTCTGACACCATCTACCCGGAGAGGGCGTCCATCCCACAGGTTAAGGGCTCAGTCCCCCGAGATGCTCCCACTTCAGACGTCAATTGCCAAGTCCAGGTTGTCACCTGAGCTTCTGACCGATTGGCTGTAAATCTGAGGTTCCGACAACCCCCTCCTTGGGTTCGATTAACTTGCTAGAGCAGCTCACAGAGCTCGGAAAACCAGTGCGCTCACTAGATTATTGGTTTATTGTAAAGGGTATGACTCGGGAACAGTCAGAGGGAAGAGGCGTAGGACGAGGTGTGGGAAGGTTCCCGGAGACTTCACGCCCTCCCTGAGTGCCATCCTCACTGAATCTCCATGTGCTCACCCCCCGGAAGCTCTCTGAACCCTGTCCTTTTGGGTTTTTATGGAGACTTCGTTACGTAGGCACGACGGATTAAATCATGGGTCACTGGTGACTGATTCAACATCCAGCCCCTCTTCCCTCCTGGGGTGAGCGGCTGGGGGGGAAGGGGAAAGTGAAGGTCCCAGCCCTGCAGTCACAGGGTTGGTACCCCTGGTGGCTAGCCCCGGCCTTAGGTTCCCCTGGGACTTCCTCAAAGTCCCCTCATGCACATAAGCTCAGGTGTGCTAGAAGGGGTTTGCTATGGATGTCTGCAGACATCTTTTTCACTCTTATCATTTAGGAAATTGCACGGGTTTTACGAGTTCTGGCCAGAAACAGGAACAAAGACCAAACTAAGTCACAGCGTCACATGTGGTGAAGGCAGGGCGATAGTCACGACACGGCTCCGTGGCTGTGGTGTGTATGGTGGGGGGACTGACCTGGATGGCCCTGCGAGGTTTGCTGCTTCAACTCTGCATTTTAATACCCACCCCCCAGCTTTCTGCATCAAAAAGAACAGGAAACAAAACGGACTAATCAGGCCAAGGAATGAAACCGACGCCTTAATAACACTCGAGGGGCCCCAGCTCCACAGGTGGGGAGAGGCGCTGGCCACGGATGGGATTATCTAACGGGGTTCTAACCACCACTTTATCAAACTGTCGCTCAGATTGGGCTGCAATCTTCCCTCAAAGGGAAGGAGATGATGCTAGTTGGTGGCCTTGATCATTGAAAAACAGATTTGTAAAACGAGTCCTTCAGTCCTTCAGGAAAAGCAACCTCGTGGTGGCTGCTGGGAGCAGGTGACCCTAAGGGAAGGGACACAGAACTGCCCCCCCCAGCACCTCAGGCTCAGTCTCAGCACCTCTGACTTTTCACCAAGATCATGGTCAGCGTGGACAAGCCATCATTCTCCATTCAACATCTTAGCCATAATCGGGAAGAAGTGTGAACATGCAGACCAAAGGAAGGTGTCAGAGGTCAAAGGCCATGACCCAAGTCTCCATCCCATCTCCTTCCACGCACCAGAACAGTCACTGGACAGTAACCGGAGAGAGAGGACCCAATGCAAGCAGGCCCGTCCACCCTGGAGGACGCAACTGCCCTTCTGACTTTTCTGTTCTGTGTATTACTTATCTCATTACTGAAAAGGCAAAATCTTGACCTTAGGCACCCAGTGCAGAGCCGGTCCCAGGCTCCAGGAACAAGCCCATCAGACTTGATTCGCGAGATCCCGGGACAGGCAGGGGCTAAAGCCGAGAGCTTCCTCACCGGCAGGAGCGTCTCCACTTACCCTCACCAGCTGCTGTGGGAAGGGCCCGCGGGAGTTTTCCGGCACGTTGATGGGCGGGATGACCCAGTCCCGTTTCTGCCGCCTCAGCCCATTGGAGCTCTGATGCTGTGGCCACGGCAACAGTGTGTCATTTGGCGGCTGGACAGGGTCCAGGGGTGCACTCTTCTTTCCTTTCTGCAGCGTTATTTGGAAGGGAGAGAAGAGGAAAAGAAGCCTGGTTAGGTGTTGCAGAGGAAAAGGCATCTGTTAGAATTTGTACTATCCTAGATCCAGGGAAAGATTGGATGGTGTTGGGAAAAGTGGGGACGTGTTAGGGAAAAAAATCTAGCAAGACCCTCATCTCTACAAAGAAATGGAGTACAGATTAAATGGGGGTTAAGAAACCATAAACAAAGAAGAAAATATAGCTGACTCTTTAACCAGTACATCAGGGCTTTTTAAGCCCAAAACAATGGAAAAAAATTACAGAGGAAAATATTCATACATTTTAACTTAAAACCCTTGTTTATGAAAACATACCCTAAAAGCAATTGATGAATTTACAACAAATCTGACAAAGAGCTAAGAGCCTGACTATATAAAGAGTTCCTACAAATCAATAAGAAAAAATTGGAACTTTATTATAACAGGAAAAAGACACAAATAGATAATTAACAGCAAAGTAAATACAAAGGATCGATAAACTCATGAAAAACGTCCAGTCATCAAACAATGCAAATTAAAGCAATATATCCTCCTCACCCATCAAACTGACAAGAGTAAACAAAATGAATCCTCCCCCCTGAGGAGCGTGTCGTGAGTGAGTCAGCAGAGGGTGATGGTTGAGGTTGTGGGATTTGGCGTTAAACTGGTGTCTTATGTTTACCTGCATCCAAAGATTCATGTGACACGGGGCAAGTGCCCTTAATCTCTCTCAGCTCCAGCTACTTCTTTTATAAAACGGGCTTGGTAATAACAGCACTGAATTCAGAGGGTTGCTATGGAAATTAGACTGATAAGAGCCCATGCCTGGCGGGAACCAGCGGGACTGAATGTCGGCTGCTCTGAAGTCAATGGGGCTCCTCACTGCTGGGAGCAGCATTCTGCCACCAACTACCAGAAGCCTCAAAAATGGTCCTCGCTTTTGACCCCGTAACTCCACAGCCGGAAGTCTGTCCCAGCGGAACCGCATGTGGACAAACCCGCCAAATAAAGATGTTCATTGTGGCTGTCTTTATAATAACATTATGTATATGTGAAATGGTAAAAATACCAGGAAAAAATTCTGGAAGTCTGATGGTGGTAAATAATATTTAAATGCTTTACACTACGTTCATATCTTGGGATACTACGTGTCATTAGGAGTTACTCTTTGTAAGTCAGAAAGAGAAAAATAAATACCGTATGCTACACATCTATATGGAATCTAAAAAAAAAAAAATGGTTCTGATGAACCTAGTGGCAGGGCAGGAATAAAGATGAAGACATAGAGAACGGACTTGAGGACACGGGGCAGGGGAAGGGGAAGCTGGGGCGAAGCGAGAGTAGCGTCAACACATATACACTACCAAATGTAAAATAGCTAGTGGGAAGCAGCCGCATAGCAGAAGAGCAGCTCGGTGCTTTGCGACGGCCTAGAGAGGTGGGATAGGGAAGGTGGGAGGGAGGCTCAAGAGGGAGGGGATATGGGGATATATGTATGCATACGGCTGATTCACTTTGTTGTACAGCGGAAACTAACACAGCATTGTGAAGCAATTACGCTCCATAAAGATGTATTAAGAAAACAAAGAAGTTACTCTTTGAAGATATGAAGAAATTCCATACACTGATAGGAAGTGGAGAAATGGCACCAAAGTATACAGGCAGCATAAGTCCCCATGTTTTTTAAAAGGATAGAGAAAAGATTGGAAGGAAATACATAGAAATGTAAACTCTGGTTTTCTCTGGTCACCAGTGAGTTTTTATTTTAATTTACTCCCTTTATCTTTCTGTATTTCTGAATGTTATAATGTACATGAAATTGTATAATTAGAAGAGCTAACAGGACTCACGTATACACAAGACATCTACACCTATATCGCCTCCATGTTTATTTTCAAGGTGCCCCGTGTGGCTGCCTCTGCACCGTTCTCATGGTTGATGTTCATTTCACTCCGAGTCTCAGAGCCAGGAGCATATGAGAGCTCATGTGGCAGAGACAGACCTCGGACCAGGACAGCCCGAGCCAGAGAGGACAGAGCTGGCTGGAGGCCCTAGGCGGCAGCCCCTCTCCAATCACGGCGGGGTCCCCACCCTCCAGCTGAGCTCCCACCCAGTGAGAACCTGTTGGTCTTGCCATTGCCCGTTGAACCTTCCCCACTCCCTTTTGCAAAAAAGCTGCATAGAAATAAGTTAGACACACGTAGACAAAACTAATTAAAAAAACCAAAAAAACATATCAGTCCTGAACGCCAAAACTCGATGCTACATCAATGGAAAAATCCATCTGGACAAGCCACACTCCAAAGAGACCCCCCCCTCTGGGACTTTCCCCACCAGGAGTCCAGCTGTCTTTCGTGTTGAGCTCCTGCACTTAAGAGTCTGCAGCAATTAAAAACCAAAAGGCTTCCCTAGGTCACTTCCCACCCTTCATCAGAAGGATCCACGCGAGGTGTGTGCATCCCCAGTGGCCTTGATTTCTACGGAAACATGACATTCTCTCAACATCCATTCAAGTCAAACTAACAGATGCTGCCTTGTGACCAACCCTGCATCTCTCACGACGACAGGGGTGGGGTCATCTCTAGACTCCTTGATGAGCATTACAGAACAGTGTTCAGGATGGTCCTGGCCACACCCCGCCCCCTTGCAGCCAGGATGCAGACAACTGCTCTCCACGCGTCAGGGGCAGCCAACGCCTTGTGGGCACTGAGCGTTCTGAACCGTCTCTGCCTGCATCTTCCCTACTGCCAAGGCTACGGGAAGGTCATCCCCCTCTACCAGGGAGGCGACCGGGCGGCTCAGAGAGGCCAAGCAACTTCTGAAGGCCACACAGCTCTTTAGGCAGAGGCAGGATCTGTGTGCCCCCCTCACTTCTGGGGTTTCTTCATGGGGCCCCATCCCCTCTACGGGTCCTCATGTCAGTGTGCAGTGGGCTGGGCAGACATGGACATTCCCATCGGAGAGGCCCAAGGACGTCAGTGAGAAACCTCGGACCAGCAGAGGCATTTCTGAGTTCCCGCGGCGTCAGCTTCCAGGTTAGACATGCCAAGTGTGAGATTCCCACCTGGACTCCCCACCTCTGCGCTGACGCCTGCCGTGTGTGCTCAGTGAGCCCTCCAGGGGACTGCCACGCTCCACAGACGCATGACCTTGCGGGGGCTCCCGGCCTCACAGGAAACGAGGGTCACCCGGCACAGGCACTTGCCTCAGCAGAGGGGACCCGCTTGGTGTTTGCTCTGAGCACGTCTGCGTGCGTGTGTGGGGTGCTGGGGCAGAGGTCCCGGCCACAAGCACGGCCTCTGGGAGGTGGAGCCTGGCCGTCCCGGCTCCCGCCACGTCTCCCACGTGCGGCACAGAGAATGCAGGTCTGCCTCGCCCGCTGATGCTTGGGCACCTGCAGAAGCTCACCCGAGCCTCTGAATTTGAGACTCGGAATTTTCAAGGTTTTCATCGAGCCGTTCTCCTTTTAAAAACCTGCTTTGTCTTCATTTGCTCAGGCTGAGCTTGCGTGGCGTTAATCTCCCTAGTGTTGTTTAAATAAATCGCACATATTTGCTACTATTTTAAAGCTGTGAGACAAGCGTAATAACAAAATCTGGCGAAGATCAATGCCAGACCTGCAGTAGCTTCAGCTGGGAAGACACACCCACTTCTCTGGGGGAGGAACGCCGATGACGACAACGACCCGTCACCTGACGAGGCGAGCACGCGCCTCGGGACCGCGCGGACCTCGGGCCGTTCAGAGTGCGGCGCGCAAAGCCCGACGCGGAATCATACTAACGGTAAATCATGTTTCTGGCCGCTCTCGAAGGTGTTTCCGCACAGACGAGAGCTGCCGATTTCCCCACTGCGCCCGGTCACCCGTGTTTCTGAGCCAACGATGGCAGGTGCTGGGTGATAACGTGAATGCGGCCTCTCTGCTCCTGATACACATGTGCACGTTCACCTACATAGGCACACGCACGTATGTACAGGGCAGGCACATATAGACACACGTGCACACACACATATGTGCACGTGCCTCTGTGCTTATGTATCATATACACATGCATGTGTGTACATATGTGTGTGTTTTGTTTGTTTCTCTCTCTGTGCATGTAATGCGTCACAATTTTCTCAAAACCAACAGCCCGGCCCTGACAGGCTGTTCCTTACAGACAATTCAGCCCAAGTCAGAGGTCTTGTAACTGGTGGGGGTCGGAGAAGGTCCTGACCCCTGCGCTGGCCTTGGAGCCAGCCAAGCTGTTCCCTGCAGGTTTGCAGGATGGCGAGCGCGGAGGAAATCACCTCGTCCTCTGATGGGACTCTCAGCCCAGCCCACCCCAGGGAGTAGCTGGTGCTCGACAAGCAGCCGCCGAGCGGGGGACGGTGTGCAGCGGGGGTGGCGGCCCCTGGGGACCCCTTGGAGCCCTGACCCCAGGAAGGGGTGGCAGACGGGCTTTTACAGGGGCATCTTGAGGGGCCAGGACCGCTCAGGACACGCGTCTGGCCTGTTCCACCCTTCCTCTGCCCCTTTTGGGAAAGGCCTTTCCCAAAAGGGGCAGAGGAAGGGTAGGGGCCATGGCTCCCAGGTACAGACCACGCAGAGGCCAGGCGCTCATTTGTGAGGCCCTAAATCCGTCTGCTTCTTAATCAGCTCTTATTTACAAAGCATTTCTCATTTCAGATGGCCTCTCCCACTGAGCCTTCATCAATCGGGCTTAGCATCGGATTCGTTCTGCTGACGATGCTCTGAAATGGTGACTTAGTAGGGGAGGAGCCTCCCCAGGCTGGGGTCCTAGCGCTGGGCCTGGGACCCGGGATGAGTCTTATCCTGCCTCTGGGCCTCCGTTTCCCGCCCCGGAGCTGGACAAGCTCTGCGCTTCGGGGGCAGCTGGGGCGTGGGCAGGAGGCTGAGGTACTTTCTGGAGCGTAGCTTCTTCACGTCACAACCTGGGGGGGTTCCGTGGTCTCGCTCCTGAGCGATACAGGTGAGCTACGGAGTCACTGCC